AATTAATTTAATTATTTTATATAGACTAATGTAGGCAAAGTGATTAGAGTAGGTGCAAATAATACATGTTTGTACATATATTATTTAGGATGGCAATTTAATTTGAATCTTTGTTGCCTTAGTATCATAGGCACAGGATTTTTCTTCATTGCATAGAGATGCATGGACATATAGCCAGATATATTATATATATATATGTACATGAATAAAGATGTATGTATATTTGATTATGCTCAAGAAATTTATCCTTCTGAATTTTTCTTCCTTTCTAATATTGTGCTGTATGAAAACATTGTCGGTTGAATATTACAAATTAATTTGGTTTAAATTACATACACTTTTTTTATTCCGTTAGGAAATTCACTTTGAGTTTGATTCTCACAATTAGCAATGCATTGACACGTCATTCACGCCAAATCCATAACAAACTGTATTGCAATTGAAAATACTTGACGGACGATTGACTCTGACTTCCGCTTCCATTTTTATGTATACAGTAAAATGAACGACATAATACGTTTGTTATATTGTTTAAAGATTAATAATAACTCTCATTAATAGCTATTATATAGCAGTAATTATTTTTATTACACATGAAACTGTCACGCGTCGAAATATCGTCTCATTCACATTTGGGGGCTAATTTCTGAACTTGCGCAGCTATCGGTCAAACAGACAGTGACGTTATTATACTGCATGCGTATTGTATAAGATAATATCCTTTGTAAAATTGAAATTTTTTATAATTTTTAAATAAAATTATTGTAAAAATCCTTCTTCGTTATTTTCAGAAGGTTGAATACGTTTTAATTTTAAACGAAAATTCTATCTGTCAAACCGAGCAGACGACGTTTATAAACGCCATATTGTTGGTAAAAGATACTACCTGTGACGCAATACACAATATACTACTTCCTATGCCTACTTTGTATATGTATGCATCAAGTATGTATACAAATACATATACCTTGTTGTTCAGTCCTGCTTGGAGGGTTGCGTCACCATGATGTTTATTTATGTTGACGATACGTGTATACCTGAAGGTATACATACATATATGCATAACTTATTTAATATATAGAACACAAAAATAGTGACTTCATACCATTATTTGATTACGAATTAAAGTATTTTAATACCTTTGCAAATTTCATAAATCTTACCGATTTTATGCATGAATTGTAAAGAACATGTAATGAAATTTGAATAAACATAGCGTATGATAAACGAACATCACTGTAAAATTAATTCATAAAATTTTAATAGAAATATACATTGTAGAAATGATTATCTGAATGTATTCATGTTTTTGACGGAGATCTGTGAAAGATGTACAAATTGTAATATACATTGTACAATAAAAGTACGTTAATCTGAACATGGATTTCTTAAATAATATATAGTAGTGGATCCTATTATTATTTAAATTTAATTACAGTGAATTTATGATAGTTCTAACATTGAAGTCATCATACAATTACGCATGTATGGATATATACATCCGTACATATATTGGATACGGCAGTAGAAGAAATGTCACACTGTGGTAAGTAGCCTTAATGAAACGCACTTAGTGTACATTTACATGTAATCGTTTGGTCAAATATCTTGAAATTGATTTAATATTTTCACGTTAATTTGTATTATTACGTAAAAATTTCCTTATTTTTAGATAGTTATTCTAATAATAAATAAAATAACTTTTAAAGAAATATTCAAACTGATGTCAGAAAATCAATGCATGGGTACCAGCATTATGAAATTAATTAAATTTATCATATTATTTCACATATAATTTTCACTATATTTTGGAAAAAGGTGCATTATACACAATACATAAATTTACATTTTATTTATTTTCATTTGCAGTAGCAGTTTCAAAATATTGCACTTTCTATTAAACAATAATAAATCTTTTAAATAAAATTTGTACCCGCGCTTTTGAATGGTGTGCCGAAAATATGGGCAGAATTCCAATGGAAGAGAATATGTATGTACATATATATATGTATATGTACATATGCGTGAGAAACATGGCTAACGTTAAGGACCGACACATGTTTTAATTAACTTTCTGGTACGAATTGTATTTAAGATATAGATAGAGTAATTCTTATGTATAATGTTGCGTATAGTAATTGTGTTTAAATGAAATTTTATAAATATTTTCATTTGTCAACTAAATAATATATAAAACTTTAAATAGGAATCACAGAGTGAAACGTATTTGCAAAATATTACCATAATCTATGTATGCATTCAGAAACATATTCTTTACATTTTACAAGTCTAGAATTAAATTAAAAATATATATAAATTTTTCTCATATGTGTACAATTATGTTCATAAGCGCAAATCGTAATATTGACTGTTTACGAAAGTTTAGATAAACGTAACAATACTTCTGTACGCTAAGGTCGTATGTTTAAATATTATGACAATTGTATGAAAAAATATGAGATTATACTATTTGTGTAAATTTGTTTGTAACGAGAATAGAAACGTACTCGTACAAAAGGTAAAATATATATATATATATATGTAGAACATTGTAGCGTAGAGTTATAAATGAGAAAAAGGTAATATCAGAAAGAGTGAGATAGACACGTAATTGACGCCGCCACCGCAAGGTGTCAGCATTGCATGCGGCTCGCTCGCTAGCGGCCACCATTGTTGAAATTCTGCTTTGGTTGATGCCCCGACGATTTTTTGGCTGAAAATCGTAAATTCGCCAGCCCCTGGCAAGGGCTCTGTGCGGAAGGTGCGTATTCCGTAATAAATCCGCAACTATGTTTAAATCATAATGACCGTCGGTAGTATGTTTCGCGATTAAGGGCCCACCGGGAAAACTCAGTGAAATCGAGTGTGCCCATCGATTTACGCGAAAGAAAGAGGCACCCATGTCCGTGTCGTACGTCCTGTCGGGGTGTTGGTGTTATGTGCGGTGGCTAAATTGTGCATGATACATACGTGCGTGCATGCGTGCCGGTATAATGCAACGCGTTTACTCTGTACAAAATACAATCTGCTTGTCTTAGATCTTACTTGACCAGAGTGGAATCAAGAATTATTTTAATGTGTCTAGAATGCAATATTTAGGCGTCAGCCAAAGATCGCGCGTCTAACTTGCGATTTTTGAATACGTGCACGTTGTTCCACGAGTTAAGACACGCGACTCGCGCGTTATCAGCGATACTATTCAGGTGCGGGGACCACATCCCTGTTTCGCTCATTTGTATATGCGTGTGTGTAAGTGGTTGCGTGTGTGTGTGTGCAGTTTCGCGGGGTTGGAATGTCTTCTCTCCACGCGTTGCACGTTGTGCGTGCATAGGCGTGTGCACACGCGACACACGTCATTCGCTTATGGGTTCATACGTGCGACAGTGTGTATTTTTTACAAGGGTACAAGCACTAGTTGGTTAATGTGATTCTGTTCGTGTATATGTGTGATCTCGTGCAATATATCTACGCATACTGCATGCCACTGGAATTTACGAAAAAGCACGCGAACTCTGTCCAGCTACGACGCTGTCGGCTGAGGAAATCGAGATACACGGTGTCACACTCGCATGCTCATCGCTCCCCTCGTGGGTAACATCGACTATAAAACACTTACACTGTTATTCCTTATATTGTGTATCTCTGGAAACCGTTACAATCTCTTCTCAGTGCCGTTCTGACAGATGCTTTAAATCTTGACGTGTTTGATCTATCAGCAACAATTTTGACAATATAAGTGGTGCATACTGTTTCAAACGACGTCATTAATTGCTATACTTTCGAATGTTGACGTCCCTGTTATTATTTTCAATTATATTTGTTTCTCCTTAATTTTTGATAAAGTGTAAATATTTTCTCTTCTAGTCATTTCACTGATTTCTGTTGTGTCTGAATCAGTATGAAGGAATAATTGGTGTTACTATATTATATTAGTATGTTGTTTTG